AAAAAAAAAAAAAAAAGCTCCAGGCCAGCAAATATAAACATTTTTGTCATCTATTCACAGATGCTTGCCTACCTTAAATATATAACGATCAGTGGGATAAACCAAAAAATCAATGATAAATGCAATGAATAGAAGTGAAACAGAATATATTGAAATGTTTCTACACTATTTTTAAGACCATTGAATCTTTGCACTTTGACATCTGTTTTTAATTTGGTAAGAGGTTATGTGACTTTTAATATGATTATTAACCTCTAATCAAGCAATTTCAGATAAGAGATAGAATAATTTATAGCTTCTTGTGACATTTTAGAAAAATATTTTTGATGTTTTAAGTTTTTTGATTTAAAAATAATTGCTACAAGGGGCATGACTGAATTTCATCATATGTGTTTCTATATAAGTTGTCATATACATATATTGCTTAATAGAACTAAACAGTAAACAAAAGAAACTAAGATGCTGCTACATAGAACTAGTTATGTACATAAAGATTATTTTTTGCAGGGGTGTGGGAATGAGAGTAACAATAACAATAAACATATTATAAGCATAACAATAAAAATATTAAACATTGTAAACTGCAAGAAAAAATAATTTACCTTATAAAAATCCAGACTAAATCCTGCTTGGCAGTAACCTTGACCTTCAGGATCAGGATTGCCTAGATTGATCAAAATATATGCATGTTATAATATCTTTTCAAAGCTCTGTATGAATAAACAATTCAAGATATTGTGTTCTTTATAGACACTAAAGTTTTTAATTGAAATATATGCTTTATATTTATTTTTAAGAATCCATTCCAAGTAATTTATTAAATATATTTCTATGTATTTTCTTACCCCAAATAATACTGTGATTTCACCATACAATCTGCAGAAATTATGTCTGGGGGCTTGTTATTTTAGGTTTATTGAAGACATTGAATACTAACTGTACTGTATTTAGGGTATGTGTATATAAAAACAAGAATGTGTATTGATTAATATAAACTATGATTATTTGAAGAAATAAAATCTTGATACAGACTGCGTTCCAAGCTGTCTGTGGGATGGTAGGGTCTCTGCTCTGTCCCGCTTGCTATGTCTGCGACTCCTACAGGTGTGCCACGTGAAGTGTGTGTGTCTTCCACTAGTGGCACCACCAAGGGAATTCCATATGTATGCTTCTTCATAAAATAATTCTATTATGATCAGTTATATAAATTAAGAGATTTCTTGCCATAAAGAATCTTATAGGGCTATTCAATGATCATGTTGAAAAGAGAAACCACTCTAATAATAGTTTGTTTTGTAGTCTATGCAATGTAAATTACTAACTGAATATTCAATAAGATATTATTGTAAACTATAGGCAGGGTGACATAGCACTCTAAAGATATTGTTACAAAAACCTTTAGGATCTTAGAATCAAATTTCCTATAAATTGTAATTTACAGCTTCTAAATGCTTAAATGATAGCCAAAATGTGAAGGAGCAGGAATCTCAATTGCTGCACAGTTAGATATGAACAATGTAATAACTGTTTCATTCTTATAAATGTTATTTCTCAATGGGAAGTAATCTGAGAGAGCAGAAAAGTAAATAGATATCATCAATGGAAACATTTATAAGCTTGGGCAGGAGCTCATTTTGTGGTGCTGGGGCCCAAACCCCCAGGGTCCTATACATGCTAGGCAACTGCTCTACCACTGAGCTAGATTCCAACCCATGAAAGCTTTTTCTTTCCTCCCACAGAAGCTTTTTTGAAATGTATCTGATTCTTTCAGCTCTCATAGAATGTCTTCTATGTTCTTCTTCTCTTTGGTCAACATTTAGCTAATTCTGGCATCACCCTCAACAGTTCTTTTTATGTGCTCTTTTTATTTCTTCAAAGTAACTTTTCTACCTCATATAGTATACGTCACAGATTCTGTTCCTTTCCTTTATGTCATGGTTTATGGTTATAAATTTTATGGAATTCTTCCAAAGCTCATCTGTATAACCTCAGATGTATGGGTAGTAGTTTTCTAGACATTCATGCTTATAAATATATGTAGCTGGAGATATATACAAACATATGATATATTATTATGTGAATCCATATACACTGAGTAGTTTAAGAAATGCATTCTAAATGCATATGTCATTTTAAATTCTTTTTTAAAATCAACTTTTTATTTTTAGTAAAGTAAATTATTTGAAAGGGAAAAGCGTGATGATTCTTTAAAGCTACTTTGCTTTTAAAACAAGAAACAAGGGCCCACCAAATAGCTCAGCGGATTAAAGCATCTACTTAGGCAGATGCAGTGGGTGGGGTTCAATCCCCAGCCTACTGTGCTGGCATTGAGACTAGGCATGGTGGTATGAGCCTGTAATCCAAGCTTTTTGGAAGGCTGAAATCAGGAGAATCACTACAAGTCTGAACTATGTAGTGAGACCCTATAGACCCTGTACTAAATACAAAAAAAAAGTACTGCCTGACGGGCAGCGGAGTTGGCTGAGCTGTCCTGCCCTGGCCAGCGACAAGCTACCCCAATCTCAGATGCCCAGTGAAGCCACCAACTGAGTGAGGGGAGGGCTACAGAGAACTCTGTTCACTTTTATCTCCATCAATAAAGTGGCCTTTTGGAAAAAAAAAAGCAAAAAACAAAAATGAGAAAAATATCTTTAAATTCATTGACAAAATAACCAACTTCAACTCCTTAATTCTAAATGGTAGTTACAGTAGAGTATTGTTATTTTCTCTGAAAGCCAGTTCATTTTGGGGGGCTGAATTATTATTCATGAGTACTAAAGGAATCTTCCTGTAACTTGAGAGCTCTTCAGAACTGTATAATTATTTGTCAAGATAAACTCAGGAATCCAGAGACATATGCTGATTGTTCACCACTATATGTTGGCTTCCAAAGGAAAAATTGAATGGTGTGTGTGAACTGTCCTCACCTGCGTTATGAATGATTGTAAAAGCTGAATGTATGTCATTAATATGAATGAGGCCAGCTCTCAGATTGCTCACTGTATCCGCTCAGTTCATTCGGTTTTTGGCATAGAATTAACATAAATTCTCTTTTGAAAATAATATTGCTGATGTTCCTGTTCTGTGATATTGACCATATGCTCATGAACAAGCAGGCTTTGTGTTAATGAACTGTGAACTTCTTAGCCATGACAGGAAGTCTGCTCCTTGGATGATTTGATGTATAGGAATAGGGATTTCATGAGGATGGCAAAACAGCCAAGTCATTCTCAGCAATTTATTCAGCTATATTGAAATTCATGCTGAGCACCATTTTAGCTTTTTGGTACTTTCCTTCTATGTAGAAAAATAAATAGTAAATTAATTGACATTGTAATGTACTCATGAAGCTGCAATTGTGAGTGGACTTTAACTTAGGATATTTTAAAATAATGCCTCGAAGTCACACTGAAACTCATGCCTCACAAGTCTAGATTGTATAGGGCTACACTTTAATCTTAGACATCAAGTCACACAAGCAGTCAGGCCAAAAGGCAGAACTCAAAGCAGGGACAAGTTTCACAAATGATTGTTCTCAATGTCAGTGGAAAGAACACAATATATCTTCATATAAAAAGGGTAGGAAGGATTGGCTCATCTTTTTAGTAATAATGGTTTGTTGCTATGGGGAAGCATCATTAGTAAATCATGAAAAATAATAAAAATAGATGCAAATGTTGATGAAAAATTCTTTAATATCTTTGATATGATACCACCCTTTCACCAAACCCAAGACTCAAGCACCCTCAGTGAAGCTTTACCCAAACTTTTCTTGGATGCTGCCTGTGCCTGGGAAATGCTTTCTCTCCTAACGTTAGCCCAACATTCCCCTTCATATCATCCTGGCAAAGGGTTCTTCCTCTCTCTGTTCCCCAGCTCAGGGCTCAGGTCACTCCTTTCTTTCTTGTCTTGCTATTTTTTTTGGGGGCGGTGTACAGGGAATACTTTTCACTACCTGGCATCATATTATGAACATATTTATCTATACATCTGTTGCCTATCAGTGCCCCTAGAACGGTGGCTCACTAAATCCAGGGATTCATCTTTTTCCTGTTCATTTATATATTGCATGAATGTAGAACACATAGTGCAGTTATGTTCAGTAGACACATGTTGAGTGAATAACTAATGGGGCCTCATTTTCTACAAAGCACACTTATTTTAAAGCTGTTTTAGATAAAGTCTTTATTTCCCAGACTATCCATTCAGCTAACATTCAGAAGACCATAATCTTTTTTTTTTTTTTTTTTTTTTTTTTTTTTTTTCGGAACCAGGGATCGAACTCAGGCCCTTGCGCTTGCCAGGGAAGTGCTTATTCCACTGAGCCATCTCCCCAGCCCCTAGAAGACCATAATCTTATTGGTGCCAAAATTTCACCAAAAGCCACCAGAATTAAAAAGTTCTATTCCCAATTCCTTGGAGTTCTGAATCTTTTAACTTTGTCTTGTCACCGAATGAATCTTTATCGTTAATGTTTTGCTTCTGATAGTTCTCATTACCTTGCCTAAATTAGTTCTGAATTATAAAAATATATATGCAAAACTTTGCTTACTGTTCAACATGGGCCTACCAGGAAAAGGTGACTAACAAGGGCGTGACCTGGGAGGTTGTACCACTCTCCTGTCTCTGCTCCTGCCTTGACTCCTTTCATTTTCTCGATGCTTGATGTGAGCAGCCCTCCCCTACTTGTCCCTCTGTCTGCCATGTCTGCCCATCTACCATGCTGCCCAACTTTGGAGCCAGCCAACTATGAATTGAAATCTCTGCAAATTGTAGGTCACAGTAAGTCTTTCCTCCTTGACATTGTGGGTATAGGGTGTTAGGTCTCAGGGACAAGAAAGTAAGATGGTAGCACCATCCCTGTAATAAATGATCCAAGTGGTCCAGCATTCTTCAGAACACACAGTGTACATTTTCAACAGCCACTGACAATGTAAAACCTAAAGTAAGGAACAAATCAGTTCCATTGGAGATATCTAAGAAATGAATTTTCAAAACGTGGCATCCCAACAAGGATTCCAACACTTGGCTCTCCTATCACAAGACATCCTGTAAAGCAGTCAATAACCCTTGCTCTCATCTTGTTTCTGCCTAATGCTATAATGCTATAATGCTTTTTGATGGTATTTTGCATTAACTTCCAGTTTCAAGGAATAAAAATAACTTACTGTTCCGACAAGGAGAATACTCAGCATATGCACTGAAATTCTGAATTGCTACATAGCAGGTGCCAACTGGATCCTTTTCTGGTGTTGGTTTAAGGGTTCTCCAGTGATACAAAGGAGCACAGGCCTGTAAAACATCAAAGACACTATTTTTATGTAGGCGTCTCGTACAATATTTTGTTTTGAATTATTGACTAGTGCACCTAAACTTATGACAAATGGTGTTAAATTGATAGGTGAATTAATTGCTCCTCAGCATGCTAATGAGCAACTTGGTAGTCAGAGTTAATTAAACCTCCCTAAACAATTTGCAATATTAATATGTTTTAGAACTGGCAAAAACTAAATATACTTAAAGGAATGACCTCTCTTGTCATAGAATCATAAATTAAAAGTAACCTGGCAAAAGGAAATTGCTTCCTAAACACAAAGAATTCATATTTCCATCTCATGTCTTTTTTTAAAAAACAATTTAAAGTTGTTCTTAAAATTTAAAATTTGTACAGGGGAAAGCAAATCATCATTTAAAAAGTGAATAAGTGAATAAAATGTGTTAAAATAAGAACTAGTTTATTTATAAGAACTAGTTTATTGTGTTGTTTTTTAAGAAACTTTAAAAATAAAATTAAAGGGTGCAGACAAATTTATAAAGCTCTATTTTGCTGAGTACCCTACTTTATTAGGGAAACTATGTATTACTAATTTTTAAATCGTGACTTTTCTAGGCACATTACTCCCTATCACAGTGTTTTGGGCTTTATTTTAATTCAATGGTTTTATTCATAGTAAAACTGAAGGTAAAAGACAGTAACTAGTGCCTATTTTAGCATTAGAAAGGAAGTTATCCAAAAAGCATAGCACTTTTTTCTTTTTTTTTTTTAATGAAAACAAAGTGCAAAATTTCAAAACAAGATTGTAGGAAAGTAACAATGGTTAACATGTGATGTACTATTATCCTCAAAGTATTTGCTCATATTACAAGATACAGGCATGAAAAATTGGTCAGAAAATATAAGCATAAACCTTTCTTTTCAGTGAACTAATAGCAATTGGTAGTATAATTCTCTTAACTATCTCTATTGAGTGCAAACTAACCTGACTCTGCTTCCTAAGGAGAAATTTATTGTGATAAATTCTAAAGACTGACAACAACCTTTTTCAAAGGAGATGAGTTAGCGAAATCATTCCATTAATGTGTTATCAATTCTAAGAAGGCAAAAAAAAAAAAAAAACCCTCAAAAGTTTAGAAATAAACATTAAATGTTTATTGCCTGCTCACTTTAGAGTGGTAAATTAGGTAAGGGTGTGTACTATGCAAACATTTGCTCATCCACCAGAGCCTCTTCTAGTATTTATTTCACTGCCAATAGCACTTGGCATTGAACTCTGCATTTAAAATTTGATTAATATGTTGTGTGGTCAGTCAAATTAAAGAGCTGCTTACTGGACAGAAGTTTAAACATAATCTTACAATGCCAAATTGTTATGCATTAGTTGCTATATTTTTGCTTTTATGATATATGATATACAATTTGTCATATCAAAAATTTATTTGGGGCCTCACCCAAACCTTCTAATTTTAGGAATGTTCCCCAGAGAAAATAATGTATATTATATTGTGCCTTATGATGCCATTGATAGAAATATATTGTAAAAAAGTGAAACTGCCTCTAGTTTAGCTTACCTACTATTGGGAATTTTAGCAGCAAAAAGTAATTTGAACAACAGTGAACAACAAAAAAATGTGTACATGGCATGCTCTGGTTTCTTCTTCAGAAGTTAACATTCTAATAAGAGCAGAATACCTAAAAGGAAATCCTCTTTAAATTAAATAACATTAACTTTGCTGGAAATAAGAGAGATCATAAATGTATAAAAAACACCATCATCTTTGCTTGCTTCTGTTTTGAATCCTCTGTGCCTCATCTGATTTCAACACTAGGGACAGATTTACAGAATTCTGTATTATGGAGCTACCAAGTTATTTTTCAAGTTGATCAGTCAAAACTGAACAATATTCTAATTATACAAAACTTCATGATTAGTTAAGGCCTGGAAGTAGTCAATGACTTCCAAAGTGAATTTTATTGTCCTGGGCAAAGGCCTTTGCTCCAGAAAAGGAAAATATGTCAGAAATATCCACCAGAAGGGACTAGTCCATGCACCATGTTGTCTGTATTTCTCGCAGGTAGTCCAGCTTTCTACTGAAACTGTGGCCTGGCTTAACCTCCACATCACTTACCTTATACTCTAATCCTCTTACTTTCATTGTAGTTTTTTTAACTCTACTTTAAAGTCATTGTAGGTTTATAAACATGTGCTTGATCATCTAGTCCAGTGTATAACTACTTTGAGTAAAGATATCAATAATCTCAAATAAATAATCCTTCTACAAATTAAAGTTTATTTGCTTATTTACTTACTTAGACTTCAGTTTTACTATTCTGTACACAGGAAAGTCTTGGCCAGTGCCTCCAGACTCTGCAAGTCCTCCTGGTGTCCTTATCTCATGGTCTTTCCAGCAAATGGACAAGTTACATGCTTAATAAATTCAGCCTAAGGTATTAACTAGGAACAGGGGAGTCTGAATAGTGATGTATGACTCATTGTTTCAATATAGTCTACTGGCTTCATCTTCTATCTCACCCAAGGAGATTTATTGTTATCTCATAATTTAGAAAATACAAGCTTACTGAAAACCAAATATTTTTATTGTGCTATGTTGTGTTATTGTATTTTCTATGATTTTGACAGTTACTAGAACCACTGAGTAGGTGTGTGACAACTGAATGCTACATAAATAAATTTTCAGGTTTTAAAAAATTTAATACAATATCCAAAAGATTTTTGATCTCTAAACAGTTACTAAAATGGAATTAATATTTAATAGTAATTCCTATAAGCCATATATCAGTAAAGAATTAAAGTCTTAATAATTCTGAAAGAAAAATATATCAATGTAAATATAATTCTATAGGTAGTACATTGTAAATGATTAATTTCTTTTTTTTTTTTTTTTCATTTTTCTTTTCTTTTGGAGGGGGCACTCAGGATGCCTTCAGGGCAGGTCTGGTTTGGCTTGAGGATGAGGGGATTGAACCTCAGCATCCTGAGCCTGACTTCTTTGTTTCAGCAGGCACTTAAACACCTGAGCTAATGGGCAGGCCCCCTCTTTATTTTTCTCCGTCTCTCTCTCTCTCTCTTTTTTTTTTTTACCATGCCAGGAATTGAACTCAGGACCCTGCGCTTGCCAGACAAGTGCTTATTCTATTGAGTTATCTCCCTGGCCCATGATTAGTTTCCAACTAAAGTACATTGTCTATATTTACATATCATGTATTTTTTTGTCAAAGTCTTGCAAAAGGTCTAACTATTGAATAAATAAAACTAGGTATCTCTTTTGAGTATTTAGTTTCATTAAGTTAGAATTCAAGTATTCTTAAATCCTAAAGGCCAAAGTTATTTCTTTTTTGTTTGAAGGGAATTAAAGCTAATGTTTTTTTAATCACCAAAGTAAAGCATATTCCAGATTCACCCAGTAGCCATTGATTTCTCAAAAACCTAGACATTCATTTTGTATTAAAACAATAAAAGAATAAAATCACAAAGTCATAGCACATAACATAATGCATACTTACCACGACTTTCCCTTTGTGAGCCTTCACTGTTGCTCCAAACCATTGATTTGACTTAAACTCTATAGGTTCTTTAGTTCCATTGACTCTGATCTTTCTGTTGTCTGACAAGTAGAATATGAGTTATTAATAGTATGCAAAATGTGGCAACCAGTTAAGTCACACAGCACTATCCTAAAACTAAAGTCTGACAAGGGTGCTATAAGAAAATTATAAGCATAGATGAAAAATAATCCTGAAAAAAAAATTGCTAGTAACCTGAATTCAGTAGAACAGTAAAAGGGTCTTTCATTACAATCAAGAAGAATGCAAGGGTGGTTTAACCAATGCAAAACAATCACTAAGATTCATCCCATCAACAAAATGAATAACAGCAACAAAAAACCCATATGATCATCCCAATAGGTACAGAACATGCACTTGACAATTGTCTCAGTTGCTTTTCTCTCTTGCTGGAACAAAATACCCAACATTCAAAATTAAGTAGGGGAAGTTTTATTTTGCTCACAATTAATGAAGGTTTCAGTCCATACTCCACTGGCTCCAAGACAGAGTGACACATGGCACAGAGCAGCTGTTCATGGCAGCAGCAAAGAGCAAAGGGGGGGACAGCAGCTAAAGCAACTAGCAAGCCTCTCTTTTGTCCTTTCATTGTAATGCAGATTACCTGCCCCAGGGTGGATTCAGCACACACGCCCACAATAATCAATCACAAACTTGAGAAGCCACCCCATGACTGCATGAGGCTTTGGGGGGAGAACTAGACACAAACCACAACAATCATGAATACTTTTCATAACAAAAATTTAACACACTAGGTACAGAAGGAACATAGCTCAATATGATGAAGCTATATTTCACAAGCCCACACCTAGCATCATACTCAATTGTAGAAAATTGAAATCTATTCCTCTAAGATCAAGAATCAAACAATGATCCTGACTCTCATCACTTCTAACCAACCTAATATTGGAATTGGATAAGCAAAGGAAGTAAGCGACATCTAAATCTGAGAGGAAAAAGTTTAATCATCTCTGTTTGCATGTGACATGGTCCTATTATAGAAGACACTAAAGATTCCTCAAAATAATAAATTTAGTAAAACTGCTGGGTGTAAAATTAACTTGCGAAAATCAGTGACACTTCTATACACCAACAATGAACTATCTGTGAAAGAAATCAAAAAAATAATACCAGTACTATGATAATACTTTGGAATGAATTTAATCAAAGAATTGAAAAATTTGTACATGGAAAAACCATAAAAATTGTTGAACAAAGACAAACATAAATAGGAAGACATAATGGATTCAAGGATTAGGACATTGATATTGGTAGAATGTCCATGCTACCCAAAATGATCTACCAATTTCATACAATCTTTATTAAACTCTCCCATTCCCATGCTATTTGGCACTGGGGGAAAGGGTTCTTCTTGCACATGGTCTTGCATGCACCTCTTCCCTGAGGAATAGAGTGGTAGCTCAGGAATATTAGTGGCCTCCTCGCAGCCCCAGGGGATGAGGATGTGGTCACTGTCAAATGCTAGCTCATGCCCAATTCTTCTTTGTGTGATATATGATAGGTTTGAGTCCTTATCCTCTAACACAGCTTTTGTGGTTGATTATAATATTGTACAACCTTTTCTGACTATTAAATGCTGTTATACTCTGAAAAAAAACTTTATTAAAATTTCAATGACATTCTTCACAGAAATAGAAAAACAGTCCTAAAATTTTTATTGACCCACAAGAGACTCAAAAATCTTAAATGAACAGAAACAAAGTTAGAGGAATCACATTATATGATTTTAAAATACACTATACTACAGAGCTATAGTAACCAAAGATAGAGATAGACAGCCCAGAAATCCATTCATGCATTTATATTTGATTTATCTTCAGGGACGTGTAAAAGACACACAAAGGTAAAAGGTTAGCCTTATCTATAGATTGTGTTAGGACAACTAGATATGCACATGCAGAAGAAAAAACTTGACCTTCACCTAACCCCAGATACAAAACTCAACTCAAAATGTATTATAGACTTAAATGTAAGACCAAAACCAAACAACTAGAAGAAAACAAAAGGAGGGCTGGTGAGATGGCTCAGTGGTCTAAAGCACCTACTTAGAACAAGCTTAGCAAAGCACAGGGACCGCGGTTCAATCCCCCAGCACCACATGCCTGCCAGCCCCGCCCCCTGGTGGGCTGAGCTGGCCACAAACATAAATAAATTAAAAAAAAAATTAAAAAAAAAAAAGAAAACAAAAGGAAAATGATTTTCATTGTTGGGCTTGGCAAAGAGTTTTTGGATTTGAGTCCTTAAACACAGGCAAAAAAAAAAAAAAAAAAAAAAGCAAAAATAGCCAAATCAGATTAACTCTAGATTCTTGTGTACATCAAAGGAAATAATGAACAGACAACCTATAGTATGAAAGTATTTTTTAAGTGTTGCTATTAAGGTGTTAGTGTCCAAAATATACAAAAAGCATTTTGAATTCAATAGCAAGAAAGCAGGGGCCAGCCAGATAGCTTAGAGAATAAATATCCTTCTAAGACAAGTGCAGGGACCACGGTTTAATCCCCAGTGAGCCATTCCAGCCCCTCCCTGGGGCATACTGAGACAGCGACTGAGACTGGGCATGGTGGTGTGAGCCTGTAATCCCAGCACTTGGGAGGCTGAAAACAGGAGAATCACTATGTATAGTGAGAACCTGCAGACCCTGTATTAAATACATTAAAAAAAAAAAAACTCAGAAAAGACCTCAATAGATAGAACAAGAGGAAAAGTGCAAATGTCCAACAGGTATCAGAAAAATACTCAGTATCACCAATCACAAGAGGAATGAAAATCAGAAATCACAATAATATATATTACCTCGCTTCAGTCAGAATGGCTATCATTGAAAAGACTAGTGATAAAAAATATTGGTGATTATTTACAGAAAAGAGAACTTTTACATGCTATTTATGAAAATGTAAATTATTCCAGAAATTATAAAATAACGATGTGCAGGTTATTCAAAATATAGAGCTAGAACTACTAACGATCCATCCATCAGAATTCTCAGAGAATAGCCACAGAAAATGAAATCAGGATGTTGGACAGACATCCGAATTCATGTTTGCTGCTGCATTATTCGCCATAGCCAAGATACAGGATGACGTTAAATTTCTATCGATAGATGAACGTATAAAGAATATTAGCTTTGTAAAAGAAGGAAGTTATAGAATTTGTAATACCATGGATGAACCTGAAATACGTTATATTAGTAACCTAAGCCAGCACAAGGAGAAGACAACTAGTAGGTGATAGTGGGATGCAAAAAAGTTGAACTTAGGCAGAGTAGAAGGATTGTTATCTGAGGCTACAAGGGAGTTGGAGAGTAGGGAGATATTGGTTAACAGATAATAAGTTTCAGTTAAAAGAATAAGTTCTGGATGTCTGTTGTACAGCATGATGATAGTACTTAATAACAATGCATTGTATACTTTTTTTAATATTCAAATGACATTTTCTAGGTTTATTGTTGTATTTGGGTCATACATGTAGCTGAGCTTACATTTTATAAACTATTTTCTTTGTGTGTATTTCTTTTTTTTTCCATAATTTTATTGAGAAACAAATAGCAATGAGTTTCAAACCAAATTGGTAGGACAGTTTCAATAATTAACACATTGCATACATTCTTCCTAGTGGTTAATTGCTGTACAAGATGTGGACATGATATCCTATTTACAAACACCATTAGAACAAATCCCTCTATTCATTAACAGAATGTAACTAAATATCTAACCTAACCACTTTGAATACACAGATACAAAATGGACATTCATCTGAATCCCTTTTTTAAATTAAGTTCCATTATTTGAATATTATGGTGTGTTAACTCATCAAAATATTCTAAAAGAGTCCAGTAGCTCATAATAGTATTGGGTCTTCTGCTTCACTGGCAATGTCAGAAATTGTTGACCTGAGTCCCCTCCAGAGCAACATAATACCGTGGCTTTACTTCTTATGCATTGTATACTTGAAAATTGCTTTTTAAAAAGTAGATTTCAAATGTTCTCATCACAAGAAATAAAGGTAGCTTGATGTATTAATTGGCTTGATTTAATCATCCCATAATGTTCACATACATTAAAACATCACATTGCACACTCAAGTACATACAATTTATATTTGCCAGTTTCAAAATTCTTGAAATCCAATATTCATATGCAGGAAGATACCACTTTGTGACAGAGCCTAAGCAAGGGGGGACTGCTAAGATAAATACAAACTCAAAATATAATATATTCACGAGTTAACAAAAAGCATTTTCTTATGGCTTACATTTCAGAGAGAAGCATAGATTAAACTTAATGCAGACTCTGACAGTTTTGCATCTACATTTCAATCACATATTTATTGGTTTCAGTGAGGAGACCAAATAATTTAACTACTTAAAAGAATTCTGTATCTTTCTCCATAGGAAAACACATTCAGAGTCTCCTGGTCCAAAAAGCGTATTTCCCAGGACACATTACCAGAACCAACATGAAGGAGTTGGCTCCTGGGTGACTAACATGTGTCCACACAGCCACTGTAGATAACGCCCCACCACAGCTCTTCACACACGTTGCAGATGTCAGCAGGAGTGGGGCCAGCTGGGGAGAAACTCAACCCAATTATAACACACTTCAGATTCTAATCAAAAGCAGAGCTCTTTTCTTCCCCGTGGTTCCCCAGTGCAATGACTTCCCACAGTGTTCTAACTTCTCTGTGTTAACAGCAGCTTCATCAGTTGTTATAGCCAATGAATTCTCAAAGAATAATACTCAGGCATCTTATTTGTATGTATTTCCTTTTGTATGAGTTGTGTTTTTCTTTCTCGACTAATAAATACTTCACAAAATGAACTTTTAACTCCTATTAGGTAAGGCCAAAGTAAACATGTGATTAAAGCTTCAATTATGTTTACTTATGATTATAGACTTTTAGAAATTACTTGTACTCAACCTAGAATTTACATTTTGACATGTTAGGAGGAAATCTTGAATTTCCTTCTAAAAATTTTTAATGCTTTTGATGTATCTGGACTTTGAAAACACAAAACAAG